ACCCTGGACCACATGCGGCCCATGTGCCACCAGTTGGATCATCCTGGTCTACACTGACACTGCAAACCGCGTTAGGTGAGCGTGCGGTGTTGGAGATGCAGTCCTTTGGATGAGCAGTTAAATCGAGGTCCCGTCTGCCTGTTCAACTGGACGTTATAGATCCCATGGCACTATTTGAAAAGAGAAGGGAATTTCACCGAGTGTCCTGGCCAACAATCCCACAAATTAAATTGGTCATTTGCTTCATGGATTCGGAGGCCAAAGCGGGGACAGCGCGGCAAGGAGCCGAGGTCTCGCCGAGTGTTTAAAGCCTGACCGGGGATAAGCAGCCTCCGCCGTGACGTCACACCCTAAAGACCAACAACTAACCACAATAAGCGCCCTCTCCACTCTGCACCACCCCGAGCCCTCACAGCCTCCTGCAAGCTGACAATGTCCCACCAACCCGCCGCCTCCTATCTCGGCGTGCTCATCTTGGCTGCTGCCCCTGACACGAGATAGCCCTTCCTCAAAATGCCCCCCTCCCTGCAACTCTCCCGCTCTGTCTTGCTCTCTCTCCGCCCTCCCTGCCTCCTATCTCTCTTTGACTCCCCCACTGCCTCCCTCTGTTCCAGCCTGGGAATCTTTCGCCGGCCTCATCGGAGCACTCGGCCCTGGCTGTCCAGCAGCAGCCACACCGACTGCCCCATTTCCCACTACCGTCGCAAGTCACCCCAGACCCCGGGGGCTAACCTCTCCTCCCTCATCTTCATCCCCACCCTCCTTGCCAACCAATCCACCATCCCCTCCCATCTCACACATCCCCTTGCCAACTATCCACCCCACATTGGCCTTCAAAACATCCACTCTATCTGCAACAAGATCTTGGCCGTCAATGAACTCATCCTCGATGAGAACATTGACATTATGGCCCTCACTGAAATCTAGATCACTCCAGGTGACACCTTCCCCCTTGCTGAGGCCACAGACTACACCTACCACCATGCTCCCACATCTCAACCGTTGTGGCAGTTGTGTGGCCCTCATATCCAGGGCGTCATTAGCCCTATCCCCCTACTCCACCGGTTCATTCCCCTCTTTCAAAAACCTTATCCTCTGCCATCCCTCCCACCTTGCTCTAAAAATCCTCCTAGTTTACCTCCCCCCCCAAAATCCTCCCCCACCTTCATCTCTGACATCTCCACCCTCCTAGCTTCCCTTTGCCTCTGCTCTGAATTCCTCATCATCCAACGCACCTTCAACCTCCACTTCAACCCTTCCTGCTCTACCTCCTCAGACTTCTCTCCCCTCTCAACATCTCCCTCCACATCCACTCTGCTACCCACACCCACGGCCACCCGGTCGACCTGTTGATCACCCGGGGCCTCAGCGTCTCGGATGTCACCATCACTGACAAGATCATCTCTGACCACCATTTCATCTCCCTAACTCCCATATCCCTTTCCCCACTGCCTCCAAACCTACCACCATCTTCCAGCACCCATGGAAGAAGATCTCCCCACAAACCCTCTCCACTGCCCTAGAGTCCTCTGAACTCCTCCCCCTCTGGCTCACCTCTCGCACCAACTTACTCTTCTCCACAGCACCCTCTCCACCACACTCGACACCCTTGCCCCCCCCCCACCTCCCGAACTGCTCCCTATTCCTGATCCTCACCCTGGGTCATCAGCCACCTCCGCTCGCTTAAGGGCCAGAAGCGGGCTGCTGAACACACTTGGCTTGAATCTGGCCTAACTGTCCACCGCCACATCTGACTGGACCTCATCAAAACTTCAACTCCGCTTTCGCCTCGGCCAAATCGTCCTTCTATTCCAGATTAATTCTAGAGGTGAAGGGCAACCCCAGGCTCCTGTTCCCCCCCCCCACCAACCGGTTCTTCCGCCCTCCCGGCCGCACCTAGCAGATTCTTTTCTCTGAGTCCCATTGCAAGAAAATGCTGAACTTCCTCGAGTCCAAAATTGAGGGAATCCGCTCAGTTGCCACTGCCCCCTCCAACTTCCATCCCCTCCCTTCTCCCTGCCCACACTCCGACAATTACCCATCCCTCCTTCCACACCTTTGAATCTGTCATCTCCTCTTCTGTCTTCACCACCATATCCTCCATGAAGCTCACCACCTGCTCCGTGGACCCCTCTCCTAAAATCCCAGCTCCAACTCCTTGCCCCACTACTCGCTGATATCACCAACCTCTCCCTGTCATCTGGCACTGTTTCTACACCACTCAAAACAGCCACTATCACCCCCCACCTTGAAGAAACATTTGCTTGACCCATCACAGCTATTTAGCCACCGGCCCATCTCAAACCTCCCTTTTCTGTCCAAGGTCCTTGAGAGAGCCGTTGCCTCCTAGCTTTGCTCTTTCCTCTCCTTCCACTCCCTCTACGAATCCTCCAATTGGGTTTCCGTGCTGCCCACAGCATGAAAACTGCTCTGGTCAAGGTCACAAACGACATCCTGACAATATGTGACCAGGGCTCCCTCTGTTTCCTCGTCCTCCTCAACCTCTCCGCTGTCTTTGACACTGTGGACCATTCAATCCTCCTCCACCACCTCTCCTCCCACCTCAACCTTCAAGATTCTGTTCATCCCATGTTCCCTTCGCCTCGCTTCCTCCCTTGCCTCCTTCAAGACCGGTCTCAAGACCCTTCTCTTCGACCGTGCCTTTGGTCTCCCTCCCACCTCTCTGCCTTCCATCACCCCTACACCACCCCTCCCCCATGCTCAGGTCCCGACTCCTGACTGTTTGGCGCTTTGGGACGTCCTGCCGACGTAAAAGGCGCTCTATAAAGGTAACTTTGTTTTTGTTGTGGGCAACTACTGTGTGCTGCAAAGCATGCATAAAATACACAATAAATTCTCTTTGAGATATCATCATGATCTGAAAATGCTATATCAAGTGTTAAGATTTTTATCATGATGTCACCTTGGGCCCAGCTCAGCTTCAAGCAGATTCCGCTTACCACCCCATTGTGGAGTCCTGTAGCTCAGTGGTTAGAGCACTCGCTTTGCAAGTGAGAGACCTGAGTTCAATTCCAGGCAGAGGGCGAAACCTTGGGCAAGTTTCCTTACTCCACACAGAGCCTAATAATAATCCCTCCAAAACAAAACAATAATAAATTGGTCATTTTCCATCTACGACTGTTTGTGGGACATTGCTGTGCGCAATTGGCTGCCGCGTTCGCCCACAAATATACAGTCAATTCACTTTACAGTCTATTCTGTGAAGCGCTTTGGGACGTCCTCCCGACGTGAAAAGCGCTATATCAAATGCAAGGATTATTATTATTATTATTATTATTATCCCCATGAAGTTTAGTCATTGAGAAAGGAAGTGAATCTTGACATGAGTGGCTGGGGCCCCAATCAAGTGAACTGGAGAACTTCGTGGAGTCCTGTTGCTCAGCGGTTAGAGCACTCGCTTTGCAAGTGAGAGACCTGAGTTCAATTCCAGGCAGAGGGCGAAACCTTGGGCAAGTTTCCTTACTCCACACGCCTAATAATAATCACTCCAAAAAACAAAACAATAATAAATTGGTCATTTTCAATCACGACTGTTTGTGGGACACTGCTGTGCGCAATTGGCCGCCGCTTTCGCCCACAAATATACAGTCAATTCACTTTCCACTGTGTTCTGTGAAGCGCTTTGGGACGTCCTCCCGACGTGAAAAGCGCTATATCAAATGCAAGGATTATTATTATTATTATTATAACTGCTTTCTATCGGAAGATGTCAAATTTTGCATGTGGTGAGTATTCCATCATCCTCCTGACTGGAGCCTTGTAGATGGAGGAGAGTTTTTGGTGAGTGAGTTGATGAGCCAGCCTTCATAGTATACATAGCCACTGCCTTGCTCTTATAGTCACACTGTTGATGTGGGCCAGTTAAGTCTCTTATCGATGGTGACATCAGGATGTTGACGGTTAGAGATTTAGCAATGGATGTGCCTTCGAAATTTAGGGAGAGATTGCTTGGTCATTTACTGTTGTTTCTCTTTCATTGCAGATAGTCATTTCGGCACTTATGTGGTACAAATGTTATCTACCTCTTGTTAGCCCAAGCCTGAATGTTATCCATGTATTGCTGCAGATATGACATGGACTGCTTCATTATCAGAGGTTTTGGGAATAGAGCTAAACACTGTGGAATGATGTTTAGCTCCATGTGGCATCCTGTAGCTCAGTGGTTAGAGTGCTCGCTTCGCAAGTAAGAAACCTGGTTTTGACTCTCGGCAGGGTGACATGTTGGACAAGTTTCCTTACTCCACATGCCTAATTAATAATCCTTCAAGAAAAAAAATAAACAATAATTTGTCACTCAATCCACGACTGTTTGTGGGACACTGCTGTGCGCAATTGGCGGATCACTTTCCGGGATAATAATACCTTAAAAAAGTAATTTGGTCACTCAATCCACGACTGTTTGTGGGACACTGTAGCACACGGTTTTGCGCAATTGACTGCTACATTTCGTCCAGAATATACACAGTCAATTTACTTTACAGCATATTCTGTGAAGTGCTTTTAGATGTCTCAATGACATGATAAGGCGCTATATCAAATGCAAGAATTATTATTATTGATATTATTATTTTCTCAACCAACCTATTGAACTCTAAAACTGAACTCCCGTGTACTCAGCTTCTCATTATAATTAATTAATTTGCACAATATTTTCGTAAATGTTTATGCTTACTTTGTACATCCACATTTACACGCAGTAATTCAATAAGTTTTATCAGTGATACACACATTTACTTATCAATGGGAATTCACAGCTGATTTGGAGCTGGACAGGAAATTAATTTCCTAAGCACAATATGACTGAGCAAAGTGTGTTAATCTCAAGAGGAATTAAATTTCAAACAAGATTAATCATAGATTCTTTGCAATTTGTAAGCAACGTGAATAATTTAGAAGAAGTTCGTTAAAAATGTTTACAACTGTGAAAACTTCCTGAAAAATTCCACTTGCATCATCTCCTCCTGATTGACTCAGTGTTCAGTTAATAAATAAAGCTGCTAAGCAGTGAGGAATTAGAAGCAGAGTGCAACAGCACAGCAACAGGAAGAAGATAAAGTAGTATTGTATCAGTACAACACAATGAACAGCAAAGTCACCATCTCCCTCCTTGTCCTTTATTTGGCTTCTCCACAAGGTACAGAAATATTTGTGTTTATAAGACTACAATATTACACAGACTAACCTAGAGTGTATTGGTTAGTTTGTCAACTCAACATATTGTGTTGGCAGAAATACTGTACTTCATTCAACAATGTGTCAATATACTATATTTTGGTATAATTCACACCTTTAAAGGTCTTAACCTAATAATTTGGATGTAATGTATATGGGGTGTGCTGGTGAACAATGATTTATTGGGTGCATGTGGCTGGCATTCAGTCATATAATAATAAGACATTTCTGTAAAGATTAATTCTGCCTCATTGGGTGTTACAGGAGCGACCCTGCGATGTCGGTGCATCAAAACAGAGCCTAATTTTATCCATCCAAAGTTCATAGACAATATTATAATTATCCCTAGTGGTCCCCACTGCCCCAAAGCAGCAATCATGTAAGTATTAGGACTATTACATTTAACAGGGAAATTGAGTTCTTCTGTCAGATATTATTTCACACATCATTAATTCAAAGGCTAGAAAATAACTTCATGATTTTTCAATTATTTCCAGTGCCACACTTCAAAGCTTCAAACAAGTCTGCCTGAACCCTGATGCCGCTTCAGTGAAAAAGATCATTGGCAGGATGATTGATGGGTAAGTATGTACTTCTAGGTAGTAATATTGTCAGGTAAAGGGAAACTAGTCACAGTATCAAACATATGTGTTGTTGAGACAATTGTAAAACATCTTCCTAAATTTCACCTAGTCTTGGGCTATAAGACAATTATGTTATAAATGGTTATTTGTGGGGCATAATTGTGTGCTAATTGGCCCATGTTCGGCCACAAACTATACACATATAGTCACACCACTTTACAGTAATTCCTGTGAAGCTCTTTGAGACATCTCAATTATGTGATAAAGCACTATAATTAAATACATTGATTATAATTGTAATGTAATATTTTAAGTTTGCATAGATTTGTGGAAAATTCTTAGATTCAGTTTTAATTGAGAGATTTGTTTTCCATGATTCTTAAAAGAAGTCTTCCAAATTAAGAGCGAATATACAATTTTTCTCTGCAATGTTAATTTTTAAGTGAGATTTTTGCAGGTTTTGCAGGGTCCTAGATTCATCACTGTGACATTTAAATTTCTCTCTTCTGCTCTCGGTCTCCTTAAAGCTACTTAGATTGAGTTTACTGGAGTGAGAGTGTATCAAAGCCTCATTAATCTACATAAAAAGATGAACCATTCTGTCCAGGATATTCTTGATCATACATTGCAACAAAGACCACTTTCAGCTTTTGTTGAAGTCTCTCATGGAGTACTTTTGAACAATACATCAAGATTTTTTAAAAAACTAAGTGCTTCTTTTCTTATGACACATTTCTCCATGAAATCTGTGCAATTTGTAAAAATATTTCTTGCTTTTTCCACAGATCCAAGAACCCTGAAGCAAATCAATGAGGAGAAGCCACAACATCAAAGTGTTGAGATTGAAACCCAATTATGCCAGGGCCTCTATGTTTTAAATTCGGTCATATTTATGTGTTAAAAATATTTCATTTATTTGGTGGTTTATTTATGATTTCATAAAAGGATATTTTGGTGTTTCAATACCCGTATATCTATTGAAATTGTACTTTTTAAAAAATAATTTATTTACATTTTAAATACATCAGGAATTACTGGACTGGAATATATTTATTTAATAAATGAAATAATTACTTTGTATATTTATGGCAAAGCTTCTATTTTTAATCTCTGCTGATCTGCTTAACTCAATGAACTGTTCAAATAAATTTTAAAATTCATATGAATGATGAGAATTTTGATGGATTTGTAAGTTGAATTAACATCATCATTGGTTCATACTACATGCAAGAGAATAAAAAGGAATCAATACCTTTCATCACACATATATATAAAAAAAATTCCACCGTGGTTACATATATCTCACAAAGACAGCATTATGAAACACTACAAATTTCATCCCATGTAAAGTCACGGCATGGAAAAATGCTACTTGGCACATCAGGCTCTTTGAAAGAGCAATCCATTCAGACATACATGCCTTTTCCCCATATCCTGTACATAACAAAAGCAACAACAACTTGGTTTATATAGTGACCTTCAATTGGGGTGGTGTCTTGGAGCACTTAGCAATGGTGGAACTGGACACATAGCTAGGAGAGGGGGGGAGGCAACTGTGGGCACAGTTGGAAAGGAACGTCTTCAGGTGCAATCTGAAGACGGACAAGGAGGGTTCAATTAAAGAATTATAACAACCACAAGATTACATTTGTATAGCGCCTTTCACGTCGGGAGAACGTCCCAAGATGCTGATTACTCCTTTTTCGATATTTATCTCGTTCCCACTTGAAATTCAATATAGTTTCTGCCTCAAATTCTGCTCTCAGCCCCTCGTTCCACATCCCAGCAACTTTGTGTAAATAAAATCCACCTATTATCCCCATTTGCTCCCTTGCTAACAATCTTAAATTATAGGCTATGTGCTTTAATTTAAGATAGTAAAGCACAGTTAAGATAGTTAATTTAAGATTGTTAAAGGTTAGGAGTCACTGATTCATCAACCAGGTGAAATAATTTCTATTGACTCTTTCAAAACCTTTATAATTTTAAAAACCTCTACTTGGTCTTGCATTTTCACCAAACTCACTAATTTGTTGTACCAGAATACTTCATGGTTCATTTTGTTTGACAATACATGCAACATCCAACAACTTGCAGTTGTATAGTGCCCTTCACATAGGATAATGCCTTGGAGTGCTTCAAAGCACCAGGGTTGGGCACTCAGTTGGGAAGAAAGTGGGGAAGGGACCATAGACAAGGTAGGTTTTAAGGTAGGGCTTGAAGATTGATAAAGACTGGGTGAGGCGGAGGTATTGAGGTTAGAGTTCCAGACATTGGGGGTGTAGTGACCGAATGCTCAGTAGTAGTGCAGAAAGTGTGGAGAATGCATTGCAGGTATGTTAGCTGAGCAGAGGGGTGGGCAGAGTAATAGGGTACAAGGAGATCAGAGAGGTAGGGAGGTGCAAGGCTGATTTATCTGTGAAGTCGAGCCATTCAATAGAGTTTGGATCAGCTGGACCTTATGAAAGGCAGAACTTGGGAGATCAGTGAAGAGTCAAGGTGGGAGGTTTTAAAAGCACAGATGAGAGTTTTGGCAGGATTTGGTGTGAGGTAGAAGTTGAGGTAACGGAAAACAGTTTTGGCCAGTTTGGGCTTGAATATGAGTTAAGAGGACATCTGAGGATTGAACCAGATTGTGTTTGATTTGGGGGATTGTTAGCCAGGACATCGGGAACATCCTTCTCCTTTTGAACAGCGCCCTAGGATCTTTAACGTCCACTTGGTGGGAACTCGTTTTAATGTCTCATCCGAATGACCACATGGGATTTAAACCCATAAACTTCTGACTCAGAGATGACAGTGAAACCACCAAAAGCCAGGCTGACAGGTACTTTGCAATAACAAAGTGCAAAATTCATTGTAGTTTTCTGTGTCCTCCACAACGTGGTATGGAAAGGAATATGACATTGGAGGTCAATGCAGCAGGTAAAAGACTTTTCCCTTTCTCCACTCTGAGAGTTTGGCCTACATTAAAAGGCACTATCTGTATTTTAATTGTGTATGGATGTGTATTATGCACAGGAAGCCAAAAATTCCACCTCATTCTGTAAATTCCCTATGGACCACTTTGTCTTCAAGGGTAAGAGCACAGAATTAAGAAAAAAATCTTAAATTCAGTCTTAACTTGAAAAGTGGATCTTTCAATAAAGTTCAATAAATCAATTTCCAAATGAAGAATGACTTAAGAATCTTCTTTTTCTTCCCACTGGGCAATACTAAACTTCATAGGCTACAGGTTAAGACAAGGTGGAATTTTATGTGTGAATATATACGTTCAGAGGAATTTATAGGAGCCCTTAATTATTCATTGGATATGCCCTCCATACATATCCTTGTACACATACAACAAATAACAACCTGGCCTTACACGCCTTTCACATAAAATAATGTCTTCACAGAGGTGGGTTGGGAATTTAAGCAAGAGGGGAGGATAAAAGGGAGGTGGTAAGTTTTCACAAGGATTTTGGAAGCAGAGGAGGGAAAGTGCAAGGCAGAAGGATTTTGCAAAAGAGTTTCAGATTGTGGGAGTACAATGGCTGAAAGCCTGGCAAGTCTAATGGTGGGCAGAGGTGGCAAGAAGTGGAGCAAGGCAGAGGGAGTAGCCACATCTCCCCTAATAGAACCAAGTATCGAATTCACATAATTTGGGACAGTTACCTTTTGCTATTCTGTCTAATCATTTTAACGTTGCTTTCAAATCGTACCAATATTTAGTTTTAATTCTTTAGCTATTTATATGCATTGAACAGCATATTTCACCTTTAATTATTTTAATTAAATAAAAAATTAAATAATTATTCTTGAATATGATATGGCTGGTACTTTTCTCATAATGATCGAGAAGTGTAGAAATTACAAGATAGTATTTCAGAAACTTTTAGAAGATTATTTTGAGAGTTTTATCAACTTTACCTAGGTGCAATGTCTTCCAGGCCTGTTCTCTAACCAGTAAACTTTCTTCTTACTATTCTCACAGGGTTGTTGCTCACTCTCCACTACTTCTTCTGCACCAATGGCCAATAATAATAATAGCCTATAAAGATTATAAATTAGAATAATAATGGTTGCAGTTACGGCATCTTGTCACATCAGGAGGACATTCCATATAATTCACAGGATGTATTGTTAAGTGTATGACTATGTGCTTTGTAAGTGAAGACTGAAGCCAATTTACACACAACATCACTCAAAACAGCCATGAAGTGAATGCCCAATTTAATTTGGGGGATTGTGGGGAGAAACTGGGATACTATATAGGCCAGGACACGGGGAGAAACTGCTCTTTTTGAAGACTGATGTGGAATCTTTATCATTCACCACAAGAGGCAGCCAGAAAAATGCTACATGTATGTTCTGCATTTGTAGGAACCATGTCCAGACAAATATGTTGTTCATAATTCTTCAGAAACAGAAGGAACAATTACGTTAGTGTCCTTAGTGCCGCTTATTTAAGGGTTAATATTGGTAAACTATAAAATATTTCCCATTTTTCACAAACATTATGTAAAAATATCAGTTGCACAACATTTCATAACAATTTATGAGTTAGAAACAGATTGGACACGACCTTTGGTCAAACTCGTTTTTTTAAAAAGTGCGAGGGTGAAAAATGCATCATGTGATTTGAACATTTCATATTATTTAATAATTATCACCAGTTATTCTAAAAACTAATGTAATAATGCATTTTATATTGGGACTTTCATGTCAGGAAGACATCCTATAGCGCTTCACAGGATTTACTATAAGGTGTAGTGACTATTTTGTAGGTTAATGAACAGCAATTTGTACCCAGCAATGTCCCATAAACAGCCATGAAGTGAATGACCAATTTTATTTGTGGGATTGTTGGCCAAGACAGGAGGAGACATACCCTCCTCTTTTCGAGTAGTCCCATGGGATCTTTAACATCCACCTGAACAGGCAAACAAAACTTGGTTTAACATTCCATCTGAAGGGCAGCACAGCACTAATTCTTAATGAATATCAAAGTGAAAAGACATTCACTCCCAACCTTGACAAATGTTTCGGCTCAAAGCCATCTGAGGCCTCTAAATGCTACCAATATAGTTGTAGCCTCCCGATTATGGCGGTCGTTCAGTCCCACTAGACGGAATCTTATATATAACTCAATTTGAGTTTGACTGGTATTCCATATAGCGACATAAGAAGACTCAACTCTGAATAGTTCAATTTAACAGGCAAGTTGAAGAGATCCTAACTTTTCTACTTTTCATATTCTCTCTTAATATGTCTTCAGGTTCATAAAAAAATGATAGCGGTTTTGTATGAATATTACCAATCCCTAGGAAAAGGAAAAGAAAAATAAGCTAGTGTTCTCAATTCCAATCAAAGTACAGCAATTCTTGCTGTAACTGTAGATATGTGGATTTCCAGGTGAAAGGGATTGTGTTTGGGTGTGCGTGATTCCATGATCAAATAGCCCAATAGCACTCATTGGACAGACTCACACATAAAGAATGTTTACTTTGCAAGGAGATGATGATGGGAACCCAGCCACAGCTTTGATGCCTTCAGGGGAAGAAGAGCCTGGGAAAGCTGCAGGGAAATATGAGGAGAAAAAGAAAAGAAAGAGCATTAATGAGGCTGTCCCCATCAATGGTGTTTTCAGTATTTTCTGAAGAGGTGGCATTTTACTTTGTATTGCTGGTACATTGTACCGTTTCCCCAAGCACATCTGTAAAATGTAATCCAAAGATTAAATGCGATTCCTGTCATGCTTGTAATTCTTAATTATTGGGACATAGAAGATTATGAAATGGACATTGGCTTCATAAGATTGCAACGGATATGTGCAAACAAAGGGGAATATTTCAATCATAGTGATTAAACATTAACCCTGAAGGATCATCAGCATACGTTGTCTCCATCACATCTTTCCTGCACCCCCACAGATGGCCAAATTTGTCCCTCCAACCAACTGTCCAACCACGTCAACACCATGGAAAAAGACATTGAAATGAGTAATGCCACTAAATGTACAGATTTGTGCAAGAACGCTCAAAGTAGGCTGTAGGCTTCATGCAACATACAGTGAGTCACAATAATCTGCAATGCACAATATGACTCAGAACCTTTTACAAACCAAATAAAATCATGCATTAAAGGAAAAAATCAAGTAATAAATAGCAATGGATATTTTTGGCGTTTTCTCAGCTGATATAGTTTTTGTGTCTGCTCCCAGTTATCTATAATAAGAAATATGAGTCTGTTGATAGTTCTCACTTCCCCCACAGTCTGACTGTCTGGCAACTATTACATCAACAATACATTTAAAGGTTTACTGTAAAGTCTTGTAGACTTCATACAAAAATCTTGAAATTGCAATGGAAGGTTTTTCAGGATACTGGCAGATATGAATATAACATATTCTTAGATTTTCGCTGACAAAATATCCAGATACAATTCTTTAAAGTAAAATCCTGTGAAGCTCTTTAAGATGTCCTCCTGACATGAAAGCCATAAATTGAATGTAATGATTATTACCCAACCCATTCAACCCATGCATTCCAGTCACAGCCAAAACACTCGTCCATGCATTCGTCACCTCTCAACTCGACTTTTTAAAATGTTCTTTTCGCCAGTCTCCCCAGCTCAACCATACACAGGATCCAGCTGATCCAAAAGTCCGCCGCCCGCATACTCACCGATACTAAACTCTGCACCCTATCACACCAGTTCTAGCCAGGCTGCACTGGCTCCCTATCGCCAAACGGATCGATTTGAAGATCCTCACACACGTTTTCAAATTCCTTCATGCCCTGACACCTCCCTCTCTCTCTGAGCTGCTCACCCCCCAACCCACAATATGCTGCCTCCGCTCGACTGGCTCCAGCCTCCTGCTTGTCCCCCATGCCCTCTGTTCCATCATTGGCGGCCACGCTTTCAGAAGCTATGCCCCGAAAGTCTGGAACACTCTTCCTCTATCCCTCCCTCAGCCAGCCCCTTCCTTCCCCATCGTCAGGTCGATCCTAAAGATTTTCAACCAGTCACCTCCCCCTCCCCCGGCTTAGCATCATGCTCCGCCACTGTCAAGTTCTCTGGTGCGCTACTCTGTGTGAGGGGCGCTACATAAATGCAAGTTGCTGTTGTTTTTGATAAGCACCTATTCATCCACACTGTAACCCTTTGACTCCAATTTGAAACACTCTTACATAAGTGTAAATTATATTGCACATGCATCTTAAGAAATCTGAATAAAAAAATCAAAACTCACAGAAATATAAGCGTGAAGTGGCTTTAACATGGATCACAATAGAAGTCAATTATCTAATTAGACGACAGATGTTCAAACAAAATAGTGAAGTCCTTCAATTTTATTTTAATTCAGTGGAATATTATTACTCGAAAAGAGAAGGGGGTTTCTTCCAGTGTCATGGCCATGATTTCTCCAAATAAAGAGGTCATGCAGCTCATTTTTTTGTAGGATATTGCTGTATTGCAAATTGGCTACCACTAATATTTTCAGTCAGGATTGCCATTTGCTGTCAGTCACATTTTATTGAGTGGAAAAATCTTTATTAACTGCATTTTGGAGTCCTGCAGCTCAGTGGTTAGAGCACTCAGTTTGCAAGCGAGACACCTGGGTTCAATCCAGGCAGAGGGCGAAACCTTGGGCAAGTTTCCTTACTCCACACAGAGCCTAATAATAATCCTCCAAAACAAAACAATAATAAATTGGTCATTTTCAATCTACGACTGTTTGTGGGACATTGCTGTGCGCAATTGGCTGCCGCGTTCGCCCACAAATATACAGTCAATTCACTTTGCAGTGTGTTCTGTGAAGCGCTTTGGGACGTCCTCCCGACGTGAAAAGCGCTATATCAAATGCAAGGATTATTATTATTATTATTATTATTTTCAATCTATGACTGTTTTTGGGACATTGCTGAGTGCAATTGGCTGCCGCGTTCGCCCACAAATATACAGTCAATTTATTTTGCAGCATATTCTGCGAAGCGCTTTGAGATGTCTAGAAGATGTGAAAAGCGCTATATCAAACGTAAGGATTATTATTATTATTAGTGTTCATACAACAATTAATTCTTATATCAATCTGATTAAACATACATTCGCTTCAGATTCCATGTGCTTCAGTGAGTCTGAACATGTTATGTCTATCATCTGACGTCTAGGTCAATTACAAATAAAAGTTTCCCAGAAAACCACAAGTTACATCACGCAAACTCCCCCCTGTCCCATCCCCCCAACGAGTGACAAAATTCAACCTATAAATAAAGCAATGGAGAATCAGCAAGTTAGAACCAATCTGTAGCAGCACAGCAACAGGAAGAAGGTAAAGCAAGAACGAACAAGTAAAGCACAATGAACAGCAAAGTTATCGTCACCACTCTCTCTCTCCTTGCATTTTATGTGGTTTCTACGCAAGGTAAGAAATTAAGAAATGATCCAAGTCTATGAAGCTGTACAGCAAAGATGCAGCTCTAAAGAACTTCACAGTATTTATACAGAATCTAACATTATATTTACAATGTATGCATGACCGTAGTTAATAATAATCATTAGATATCATCAAGACATCTCAAAAGCACCTCACAGGATATAGTGTAACTTGCTGTGACTGAATGTGGAAGTCAGTTTCCAAACAGTATTTATTCAATAGAATTAATAATTGCAATTTACTGTTCATTTACAGTGTTTATGTTTTATAGCATCAACCATAGTGTTAGAGATATACAGATACCAGTAGAGGTGTGTGTGTCCTTCTCTGACTGCACAGTGTATATCTAGAAATTCACTCATATAGTCTGACTTACTGAAAAGAAAGTCAATATCTTCAGCCATATTTAATTTGAAAAAAATTGTGGTGAACGGTTATCATTGGTGATCAAGTCTAAAGTAGTGTTACTTGTTCTCTCCACAGCTGCTTCTCTTCGACGTACAGAAGTAAATCTGCGCTGCAACTGCATCAGAACAAATTCCAATTTCATCCATCCAAAGTTCATGGATCATATAGATATTTTTCCCAGTGGTCCTCACTGTCCAGTGGTGGAAATCATGTAAGTATTGCTCGTGATAATTCTGCTATTTGCGTGATTAATGAGACTTGAGCATTTTTATGAAGAGTTGATCCCTCTTTAAACTGAGGGCACACAACAGTATTTGACATCTCTCTTCATCTCTTTCAGTGCCACCCTTAAGAGCGGTAACCGTGTCTGCCTGTATCCTGAAGCTTCCTGGGTAAAGAAGATCATTGAAAAGATGATGACGAGGTAAGCATCCTTCTGGTCAGGAATAAGATAGTAAACCGATTCACTGGACATGACAGAAAGCAATATCATGTTTAGTTCAAAGTTATAGCTGTCCGTAGCACACAAAGTTGTGGAGGCTTGTGGCTCAGTGGTTAGAGCACTTGCCTCGCAAACAAGAGGACCTGGGTTTGATTCTTGGCAGAGCAAAATATTGAGCATGTTTCCTTACTCCACTCATCCCTGTTTACCTAGCAGTAAATAAGAACCTGGTTGTTAGTCAATTGGCGAATCGCTTTTCTGGTGGTAATAATCCTTAAAGTATATTTTAAATAATAATAATTAGGTCACCCTATTGTTTGTGGGACACTTTTGTGCACAATTGGTTGCCGCGTTTCATCCCCACAAAACATACAGTCAATTCATTTTACAGTGTATTCTGTGAAGTGCTTTGAGATGTCTAGAAGACGTGATAAGGTGCTACATCAAATGCAAGGATTATTATTATTATTAAAGTTACTTCCTATGTGAGATGGAGGAACACGAAAAAAGAGTAACACAAAGCACTACAGCAAGGTAGAGCAGAATGCCTAATTCCTCAAATGCTTCTATCTATGTTAATGGTTGTAATATTTAATAATTATTATATTTTCTACAGTAATGATGAACGTCACTGAAGAGAAATACCACGTGCCTGAATGTCAAGGGAATGTAAGCCACATGTCACTGTACGACATGGGCAGTTCATATCCACTGTAGTTATCCTCAGGCTTATTTTCAGCAGTCAATATTCGTAAATCTAGTTGAATCAGTATTACTTTATCTATACAATGCTCATTTATTTGTATAATCATATTTATTTATGTATTGATTTATTTAACTGTGTCATGAAATTAAGTTTGAAGTATAGATCTTACAATTGAGGCTCAATTGAAATATATCCTGGTAACCTTAGAAACCTTGTAACCTGAGTGCGAATATCCAATGGTTTGAATGTCAAATAGCCACTCAGATCACTTGGACCTGTGGTTCTGATTGATTTGGTGTTGCCACTTGAACCACCCAATTGCACTGTTACTGTCGACTCACTGCTGCCGGATTATGGAACTTAGAGGCTTGTCTATTTGTGTGACACATTGGGAACTAAACCACAGCTATTCATTATTAATAAGGATAATTTATTATTAATAATGATGATTTGTTATTAGTAACAAAATCTCTATTGGGAATTATTCTTTCTGGTAACCGGAAGTACTTTGTTTAGAATTCTTTCTGGAAATAGATAACATCTGTTCAGATTATTGCTGGCAATGCGGCAATAAACTGTGAATTATTGGACGCAATTCTATTTTATTTCTTCTCAGCAATTTTGTGGTCATAAATGTCTTAAGGTATTTTGTATTAATTTATAGTTGCTGACTGTGTTGTGTATGTACCCTCACACCTCTCTGTCTTCCCCCACCTCTACACCACCCCTCCCCCATGTTCAGGCCTCCGACACCTGAGTGTTCAGCGCTTTGGGACATCCTCCCGACGTGAAAGGCGCTCTAATAAATGTAAAAATGTAAATGTAATTTGTTGTTGCTGTTATATTGACAATAACAATGTATGTACGTGGACAGTATCTGTTATCTTTTTAACACATTTGTATTTATAACTTTTTCTGTGAAATTATTTATTTATATATTTTAATAAAAGGGTAAATTATTTCATATTTCAAAACGTTGAATTTGTTGTCTGTTTAAATTGTTCAGCTTGTCTACATTGAGTATTTAACAAGAGCTCACAGTTATAACTTGCCCATCACATCTTGGAGCACTGCACAAAGACAGGATGGGCACTGAGCGAGGGAGATGGGGAGGGGGAATGGGGAGTGATCATAAGTGCAAAGTGGTAGACTTTTAGGCAGGATTTAAAGATAGACAGGTGGTGAGGAAGGGAGTCCCAGAGACTTGGGGTGTAGTAACTGAAGGTATGGCCTTGGTGCAGAGTTGGTGGGTGACACACAGAAGGCCTGAGTTTGCCAGGGAGAGGGTCAAGTGTTCAGAAGAGCATCAACAGAAAACTCAAATATTGGGATTTAGGTTGGCATAACAAAAAAAATGCTTAACCTTTGGATTTCTAAACTTTCTCAAAAAATACTGTGCCATATAGTGCACACCCTCCTTTACAACAGTTTGCCCTCCAACTCCTTCACTATAGTTCACACCCTACCCTTTCACTGTAGTTTACCCCCACAATTCTTCACCATAATTTACCCCAGCACTCTTTCCTACAGTTTACACACACATACTTTCACGATTTGCATCCCCACTTGTTCACTATTGTCTAGCTCCTCCCCCTTTCAGTATATCATCCTTGGGTGGAGAGATGAGGAGGCTTCCCTAGAAGCTGAGCTGACTCCAGGATAATGTGCTTAGCAATGGAATATCAGAATCGAACCAACCCTCTGTGGCAGTCTTGGTAGTCCAGTTCCAGGTCTGCAGTACTCTAGAGTACTGATGACAAACCAGACAGACTGGCACATTGGCAGGACTTGGAAGGGCAAACCAATCTCTGAGAATAGTGATTCTTCCCACTCAGCACCTAAAAACTCTACAAACCAATGCTCTAATGGGTAGTGTAGAACGAGTTGAATAATTAGTAGGAAGCTTGCTTAATAGTGATCTTAATGCAAACTATATGATTTTAGTGAGTTAAGCTCCAGCAGCACCCCCAGGCCTTGGCTCTTGCCAACCTGCACCTTATATAGGTAAGCAGGATGTGTTCCTCCAGGGAGAGAGGGTGCACTCTATTCAAAACGTAAGGAACTTTCCATGTGTGGCTGACATAAATTTGTGGAAAGCTTAGTCCGGTTTCAGTACTCTTAAGCATGGTGGTGGGTTTCAACGTGCCAGTCACCTGGTCAACAAAAAAATCTCCTCAAGAAAGAGATAAAATGGAGGGTGAGGTGGGGGCGGTGACCATAAGCATGGTTGAAGAGGAAGGTTTTCAAGCGGGCTTGAAAGAGGGGAAAGAGGGGGCAAGACAGAGGGATCGAGGGAAAGTGTTCCAGAGTTTTGGGTCATAATGGCTGAAAGCACGATCCCCGATGGTGGGGCGGAGGTGACGGACAAGCAGGAGCCAGTGCCAGTCAAGCGGAGGCACCGGGTGGTGGACTGGGGAGTGAGGAGGTCGGAGAGGGAAGGAGGTGCCAGAGAGTGAAGGGATTTGAACACGAGTGAGAGGAACTTGAAGTCGATCCTTTCGGTGATGGGGAACCAATGGAGCCTGGGCCAGAACTGGTGAGATGGGCAGTCCCGCCCATCTCAGATCCAAGAACATATAGCAGGTACTGGGAGCTGAAAAGAAAAAAAGCTCTTGCGCATCCCACTATTCCAGTTGGTGGACCACAGTTTAAACCAGCATTAAATATGAAATTCTAACCCTAAATTCTTACCATGAAATTCAGGATTCCATTCACCTTGTTGCTTTTGCTCTGTCTTTGTAGAAATAGTTAGGGTTATTAGGAGGAAGATGGATTTTTTTCTTTGAATATTTATAATCTCTTTCTTTGGTTTTGTGTCAGCCTAGCTCAGTTGGTAGCAATCTCCCCTCTCAGTCGGAAGATTGTAGGTTCAAGACCTTTGAGCTCACAGTCTAAGATGACACTGAAGTGTAGTATTAGGGGAGCAGTAAAGTGTTCGAGGTGTCGTCTGGACAAGCTGTGAAACTAAGGCCCCGTCAGCCTGTTCATGTGAACATTAAAGATATCATGACTCTTCAAAAAGAGGTGGGCGTTTCTCCCTGTGTCCTGGTCAACAATCTCTCAAACTTCATGACTGTTTATGCAACATTGCTGTTTAGGAGTCCTGTAGCTCAGTGGTTAGAGCACTCGGCTCGCAAGCGAGAGACCTGGGTTCGATTCCCAGCAGGGTGAAACATTGGGCAAGTTTCCTTACTCCACACGCCTGTAAATAATCCCTCAAGAAAAAAAACCAATAACAATTTGGTCACTTCAATCCACAACTGTGGGTCACTGCTGTGCGCAATTCACTGCCGCATTTCGCCCACAAATATATAATCAATTCACCTTACAGTATATTCTGTGAAGCTCTTTGAGACGTCTAGAAGACGTGAAAACACTAAATCAAATGCAAGGATTATTATTATTATTAGTGCTGTGTACAATTTGGCTGCATGTTCACCTACAAATACACAGTCACTACACTTTGCAGTAAATCCTGTGAAGCACCTTGAGGTGTTTCAATGACATGAGAAGGCGCTATATTAATTGCAAAGAGTATTATTATGAAAATTGGCTTCAGTCCTCTCTGATTCACAGGGAATGACTCAATCTATTATTGCCAAAAGAATTCAATGTGCTGAGTCTCGGGAAGCGTTCTGCCTGTTAATCTGCCTGTAAATGGATAATCAACAGAAAAGTCTGATGACTCCTTCCGTACTGTCTATCTTCGCAGGGAAGGAATTTTTGATTGATTCCTTTGGAAACCCCATAATCTGAAAGTTACCACATCATTGCTGTGTAAACTATAAACTGTAAACTCTACATTCTTAGATGTTGCTTGCTGTGAGGAAATATTTTCTTTCTCTGTGTTCTGACATTTCCAATGGATAGTTTAGCAAAGTCACAATCTATACATCAGTAACAAAGCAGCCGAGTAGAGATAGCCCAAGATATAGAGGCAGGTCAGCACATGCCACTCCACTGGCTCTGTTTAGTCTCTTTCTTTCCTTCATCTCTTTCTCTCTCTTTCTCTTTCTCAAAGCACTGCACAGGATATAGTGTAAAATGAACTGACTATGTATTTTGAGTGCGAAATGAGGCAGCCAGTTGAACACAGTACTCCTGCAGTACCCCAACGCACACTCTGGGGTCCGTCCCCAAGCCTGGGCTCTTGCCAACCTGCGCCTAATACTTTCCAGAATTAGATAAGCACAATGTCTTTCCAGGGAAAGAGTGCATTGTGTTCCAACAATCTATCACTGGGATTTCCATGTGTAGGTGGGATGAATGGAAATCTCAGCTGGATTTAGATACTCTTCAGCATGGTTATGGTTTTCTGCATGTGTCAGACACCTGGCTGACCAAAAAAAAGCACCCAGCCCACCCGCTCCACCTATGTCTTAAAATAGAAGAGCCTGAGAATCATCTACTGCCATCCAGACCTCAGCACTCCAACACACATGGTTATTCTACAATCTACAATATTGGCACAACATTCTGTAACTAGTGTATAAAATCTTAGAAACCCACTGAATACAGGTAAAATCAAAGCCATCTCAGCTGCCTGCGTGCTTCAGAGACACATCACAGGTAACTTTCAGCCTTGTGGCAGTGAAGTTTAGTATTTCTATATGAAGCAGAGGCAGACAAAGATTTTATCAAATAGGTGTGGTGTGAATGCCATATGAGGGTGTGGAGGAGGAAGAAAGATAGACTTATTTCAGTAAATGTATGACTGAAAGCACATTCCCACTCACAATACAGCTGGAGGCAATATTCTCACGTGAAACAAATTAAAGAAGCTTGCTGATATAAATTATGCACAAAGCATTTAGCAATGGGTTTTTCCAGGTGTTTTCCTAGAACTTTCAATTATGATTTGTTAGGAGGAAAGAAAAATGAAAAATTGAGAGGTGCAGTTCAAATCTTTTCCAGGGGTAATAAAATCTTTTTTTTAAAAATATGTGGTCACTCAATCTACCACTGTTTCAAGGAAACTTTCTGTGCGCAACTGGAAATCATACAAAAAGATTTCACAAAACAATCTTTTAAATGTGTAAAACCAAAACACATTGAACAATGTCTGTTAACAGGGACACATTAGGATATAACAGAAGAAGTTAAAAGTAAGTAAATATNAAAAAATCATGAGGTCTGAAATAAATTGAAATTCAACATAATCTACGATCAATTTAATATAATGTAACATAAACTCATCTTTCATTTAAAGTTTTCTAATTCTATTCTAAACTGTTCCTTCATAGGTAAATATATCCTTCTGGCACTTTAGGTAACAAATTATTTTAACTCATTGCAGTTGTTCTATGAATGATTTAATTTCCTGTTCTCAATTGCCACAAGCTCAGCAATATAATAATTCACATAGTCTGTTCATTCATTACGTTATGTATTGTGTAGGTCAAGTCGTGTTGCAGAAAGTGCAGTCACCCCCAAAAATGTTTATCGGTCATTAAATAGCTAAAATTTACTGATTTTTAGGGAAAATATACATTGACATTCTATTCATTGTCAAATCGTTTTATTCATTCAATGGGGTGAAAACTGCAGCATGAGATCGATTACAAACTGTTTGAGGCACACGGCAGGGCTGGGTATAGAGCTAATGACAAATGTGAGGTGGAAATAGGACTTGTTAAGGCTTCAAGTTTAATAAAGACCACGTTAAACTGGCAGTGCAGGTTGTTAAAGCTAATCTCTGATCTGACACTTCACAGGAGTGGACTTCTTTGGGAAATTCCA